CAGGTACTGAAAACTGTAGCAAACCAGGTAGCGATCCTGGGTCTTTTTAAAGATCTTTGTTCTCTCTCAACCTCCTTTTTGTATTCATCCAGCAAATGAAAATGCCTCTCATTTGAAACCAAAATGCTTTTGATTGAAAAAGTCAAGAACATTGATGGGCCTACATTGTTTGCGTAGTGCATGTAACTATCTCCACAAAAGCCTCATGTTCAACGAGATTGAAGCTCTGGCTCGATGACTTTGTTGAATCCGAGTTCGTCTGTAGTTTTATGTATTTGAAGTCGTAAGTTTGTGTGCCCTGTCCATTGAAAAAGATTATATACGTTTGTGCTGGTTTTGCGAGTACAAAACAACTTTTGTGGCACTCTTTGCCTTGCGCTTTGCATGAAAAGGAGCATATGAATTAGAAACTATTACAAAAAGAAAGTCAAATAAATAAGCTTTACTTTAAGTTTAAGATATCGTTTGTTGTTGCTTCAAGCCAAACCTAGCTTTGAAAATGCATTTGAAATCTTTCAAGTCCAAAACATCAAGAAAAAAGACAAGGGGCAAATTTATTCAAAAATGGAGCTGAACACAAGGGCTTTTAAAAACCAAACCGGGGATGATTATTTTCGCAAAATGTGAACCATTGCAAAACATGACCATGTTATGGCTTCTGGGCATGGTGCCAACCATTGCTAGCAACAGTACATGTACTGGGGGAGAGTTGACTCCTGAGTGTGATGTTCGAGTGAATCCTTACCAAAGTTTTTGAGGCCGTGTCCTTTTGAATGAAGAATGAAAAGCAAATTTTAGACTTTCAAATATTGACTTTCTTTTTCTCGAGATAAAAATAAAAATTGAGCTTGTTGAAGGTGATACTGGTTTGCATTTTAGAAAATATTAAGCGTCTGGCTGTATTAGTTTTTGTGTTGTGATGAGTTTGTTTTAATAGAGGTTTTACGGCGCTCGCAACTGCATAAGGTCATATGAGTGCCAAGGGGTGGATGTCAACAGAGAAGTCCTTACTGGGAATCGAACTTACTCTTCGTACCTCTCTAGCATCAACAGCACAAAGTCTGCTTCGACTGTCAAGGCTCCCCAGAAATAGCAGGTCACAAGAGTGCGACAAACATACGAAAGTAGAGGAAAATGGCGATAATAAGGATTAGGAAAGAAAAAGCTGCAGTTCCCTGTTGCAATTCAGACACAGTTATGAGCCTGACCTTGATGAATCAGCCCATTTACAATTACAATTCTACTGTGCCTAAGAACTTGAGATGTCAATGCCCTTTGGGAATGGCCTAAAGTCCCTAAAGACCCTTCAGTCAGTAGCACCGCCGGGGGGTGTGTTGTGATGAGTGAAAAATGACTTTTCGTCTATGTTCACAAGGTTATAGTTAGGGGAGTGTACCCCCTCCGGGAAAAATGCTGCAACTCGCTTAACTCTGTATCTCCTGGGGGGGGCTAACCCACTACACCAGAGCCCTTTTTTGGTACTAAATCTAAAATGACGATAACGTCACTCAATGGGTCATTAAAATAATTATATCGAAACTAACGAACCTATTATGATAGCTCTTCATGTAATGAATGAACTTCAGGTAAAAGAAACCTGCTTTCGGCAGTTGTCGTAAAGTAATTTGATGTCAGAGTCGCTGAAAAGGAATGTACCCGAGCTGCTGGGAGCTGCTTATCGGAGATAAAGAGTTAATAATCACCACAGAAGATCTATTTGATATCAATGTAAACAGAAAGAAAACTGTATTTGATAGTGTTAAGAAAGCCAACCTCTGCTCGTGTAAAAATTTGCATTTGGACTGTGTATCATAACAACAACAAAAATTAATGTTGTTTCCAAGGAAGCATTTTCTTTTATAATATAATAAGGAAGTTATAATCAAAATTGTATTCTTAAAAACATTGATTTGGGATGTTTTCATTCTTGGTAAAAGCATTCAGTTTTTTTGGCTCTACTCTCCTGTAAAATTGTAAAAACTGCATGTAATAATAATATGCAGTACTTTTAAAAATGACGGCAGCATGGTCTTGTAGAAGGTCAAGCTTTCTGTGTGTCAACAAGACACTGAAGAATATTACTAGCGCTTACTTGCTCATGGTAGCTTTTTATAGCGTAAAGTGGTCCGTTTTCAGTAACCTCAGCTTTCAGTTCATAACCCACCCGAGATATAGCTTCAATATCTAAATATGTATACTGTACATACACATGTTTTTGGTTCTGTGAAGTAATTGCTGGTTGTTTCCCTTCCAGGATGTCCGTCACATGATCGTCATTGAGGAGGAGGCTTGGCACAGGGACCAGATTATTTCTCTTCAAAAACAGCTCAAGGAACTCAAAGATATTGATGATAGACTTTAACCCCCTCCCTGCCGGGCTCAGCGGGCCAAGAAGTGCTTCCCCTGTGCCATGTGCCTGCTGATTCGGTGGCCTGTGATAAAGTCATTTTTAGTAGGTACCCCAAAACCCCGCCTCTGCGCAGTTGAAAGTGTGTAGGAAGCTCGAAATTTTATCATTTTTAATCGACCATAACTCATCTCCTTTGACACTAATCGTCACCCCGTTTCAAACTATGTCAGTTCAACTATTGTTTTTACCTGAAGTCAAAACTATTATGGACGACACATAGCGAAATATTGTAAAGTAAGCTCTCTAAAAAGGTTACCGAGATGTTCAGTAATGTGTTTTTCGCAGCCATTTTAATGCCGGCTACGGTGACAAAAATCGAGGGTGCTTCATGTTATTTTCTGGTCACATGACTTTTTCCTTCTATCTATGATTCCGTAATGGCGACCTCTTTTTTTAAAGATCATAGCAAGCTTCATGAACTCGTCTGTGAAGGGGGTGCAGCTGGCGTTTGTTCATGGATGATGAATGAATATAATATTCTTGAATATTGTGAACATCAGACAAAATGTTTGATGACTAATTCATTTAAGTGGGTTTTTTTCCCCAATATGTCTTTAAACTCATCTATTATAAGACAAGCACCTGCACCAGTTGAATTATTTTTTTATACATAACTTTTTGAGGCCGGTTTACTGTTGAAAATGGACTCTCCTACTCGAGAGCTTCATTCATCATAGTTCGGGATTATCAAATAAGTCGGTGCCTTTAGAATTGCTAGATGTATTCCTGAATAGAACCATTTTTTTTTTTTTAGATTAATGAGCCATGGCCCTTTGAACTTTGTGGCAAATCTAACTTGTTTCTCCCCCACTCTCTTATTGAGGTTGCCATGTTCACATGGAGGACAAATATATATAATGATGAACTCAATGATCTTTGATGAGAGTCAAGTGGTGGGCGGAAGTCATCTCAACAATAATAAAGAATCATTAAGATTCCAACAAAAAGAGTGTACTAGTGTAATCAAGAGAAATAACTAAGAATAATCATACAAATAATCAGGTGTATTCTGATTGTTAGTTTCAGGCGTTTCATTTTCAACTACTCTTTCTTTTGTTTTAACTTCATCTTTGCCAAAGACTTGGTCGTCTGAAGGCAGTACAACATAGTTAGGTTCTTCAAGTGAATGTTGGTTCTTTAGAAACTTTACACATCTAACTTTCTTTACAAGTTGATTTTCTGGGAAGTAAACAAAGTAAGAAGGAAATGCAAAACAGGCTTTGCCAAATGTCTCCATGTTTGCAATGTTGGGCTTTTTCCCAGTCATGCTTTGGAAAGGGGTACAATCAATGTTTTTGTGATAGCACCTGTTTCAGATGTATGCTGAGGCCAAAGTTGCATACGTCCAAAGGTTTTTGGGAAGCCCAGATTGCAAAAGAAGGCATCTTGACATATCAAAAAGGCTTCGCCATGCTCTCCCCGCCTTTCCATTCTGGTGAGGAGAGTATGGTGCAGTCAGTTCATGTTTTGTTTTGTTTAAATTAAGAAGAGCACTAAATTCTTTTGAAATAAATTCCCCCCCTTGATCACTCCTAACAATTTTCACATTCCCTTAGGGAGAAATGTCAGCAAGATATTGCTTGAAAGCTTTGACAGCATCACATTTCTGCTGTATGAAATACACAGACGTTAGATTGGTGAATTTGTCCACACAAGCAAGAGAATACCTCATGCCATTGATGTCAGGTGGATCAACGGGTCCTGCTAGGTCAATGTGAACAATATCTAGCAGTCCTCGAGCAGAAAAGTCTGGTTTCCGACTGCGGATGTCTGGCATTTTGCCTAAAGCTCACACTTAACAATCGAAATCGGGACTGTCGGTAATAATAATTCCCTCTGCTTTGGCTTCCAACTTCAGGATATTACAGTGTCCCAAAATAATATGCCACTCCTTCAGGCTGTGACGGGATGTTTTCGTGTCTGACGAAGAATTGAGGAAATATAACTTTCCATCTTTATGAATATTAAATGTCGTTCCGTGTGAATGGAGTTTAGTACAATGCTGTTTGAATTGGACTGATGCTCCTTTCTCAGTTGCTGCGCGCACAGAGAAGATATTTTGGGCGAAAGAAGGGACGAAGAGAGCGTTTGTGAGCGTTACATTGCGTCGTCGTCCTGTGTTGTCCGTAAGCGAAATATTTGCGTTGCCCTGTCCCATTGCAACATTTGCACATCTGGTGCCATCAGCCAGCTCTATGATGTGCTTAGCGGGGTCAAATTGATTTTGAAAGCGGACGAATCTGGCTTTGTCGTTCACAACATGGACGGTTGCACAGCTGTCTACCAGGAAGGAGTCGGTTTTATGACGACTGGATGGGTTTAACTTGGTATGTGACAGATCGTTGAAGGTGAAGACATATTGGTCGTCCCGATTGTTGCCGCAGAGGTCGTCCGTTTCTGCAACCTTGAGTTTGGATATCTTTCTGCAGAACTTGGTATCATGTGTGTTACTCCTGCAATGATCACACCATCTGCCTCTTTTGGGTCCTTTGCTGGATTTCGTCTGCAGTACTCTGTGTCATGGTTGTTCCTTCTGCAGTTATAACACCAACGTTTAGGTCTGGATTCTGCAGAGCTCGCATTTGTCATCATGACAGAAGTTGGTTTTGGTGGCAGAGGCTTGATCTTTTCGTTGTCTTCATAGTTCCTGAGGGCTATCTTAAATTCCGAAAAGGTAATTGGTTTGTCACGTTGAGTAACCACTGTGGTGAAGGGTTTGTATGATTGGGGTAATCCCTTTATCACCATTGCTACGAGGAGACTATCTTGGATGGTTTCACCGGCAGTTTTTAGTGATGCTGCGGCTGTCTCGGCCCTGATAATATAGTCTGTGATAGACTCTGAGGTTGACTTGACCAATGACGTAAGTTCTGTACAGAGGGTTATAATCCTCGGTTTGCCTTTTGGCAAGTAGTGCTGTCTCAGTATTTTTAAGGCAGCTCGGCCATCGTTCCTCGCATCCCTGATTATTAAAGACAGAGATCTGTCGTCAAGAACTTGGACTAATTCTGCTAAGACCTCTTCATTTTTCATGGAATCTATTGCAGCTTCATTCTCATCTAGATCTTTTAAAACATCGTCTAGACCTCTAATTTTCATAAAGCCTAGGAATTTTATCTCCCATAGCTCGTACTTCCTTTCATCTCCACTGAACTGGTTACGTTGTCTGGGCCCATAACCTATTGAAGTTGCCATGTTCACATGGATGACAAATATATATATATAATGATGAACTCAATGATCTTTGATGAGAGTCAAGAGATGATTTTTATTTTATCTTGCTCAAGGCACATGCCACAAGTGGTGGGCGGAAGTCATCTCAACAATAATAAAGAAGAATTAAGTTTCCAACAAAAAAGAGTGTACTAGTGTAATCAAGAAGTATGCACTGCTCACAGCTGAACGCTCCGTATCCCGGACTCGAGCATGGAGATCATCAGGAGAGAATGCGTCGCTGTTTCAGGCTCTTCCTCTCTACAGCTTTTCTGACGCACCGAGCCCCCTCACCGATGTGAGGTCTCCATGTTAGTTCGACTGTTTTCCTCTGCTGCCAACTTTAGGATTCATTCCAGCCTGGGTCCTCTCGCTTCAACCAGATCCAGTGACTGGCTTTCTCTGGTGTCTCCTGAAGGGAGTTTGTGAGTTCGTTGCTTTTCTTTGCAGTAAGTCCTGCCACTCTCATCCACTTACGGGCGCTTGTTGCTACAAAACCTCTGCATCCTACCTCTACCGGAAAATGGGTTGCCTTCCATCCTGCCTCCTCACATTGTTCGACGAGTGCCTCGTAACGGTTTTCTTTCCGCTCATGAGCGGCATATATATTGTCCTCGTGGGACACCGTGAGCTCTACCATGTGCACCTCTTGTCTCCCATAACACAATGTCTGGCTTTTTAGTAGTTGGGATGGGGAAGAATCTCTCAAAGCCCTTTAAGTCAGCGGCTACCTCCCATGTGCCTCCGCTCTGGTCTTCCATAGCTTCGTTCGCTTTCTTTCTTTTGGTAACCTTGCTTCCTTGCGGAATAACTAAGAATAATCATACAAAAAGATAATACATACTATTAATAATAAATTCAGTTATTTCCCCTTGACCATAATAAACAATGTGATTTTTATTCTAACATCTCTCCCCAGTTGTCCTGGCCTTTGATTTGAAAATGGGCTCTGCCCGTGCTGTAGCTTGCCCAATTTTATATGTTTGAAGAAAAAAAAATCATCGTTTTGAGATGAAAATGGACTCTGCCCATGCGGGAGCTTCTCCTCAATTAAAAAAAAAAAATTAGATTTGGGGAGTTTATATGTGTGTTAGTGTATCTGGTCTCACATTGTTGAATATTTACTTTATTAATGCCTCATTTTCTCACAGAAATGATAGCAGAAATGGATTCCTGGCCCAAAAGCACGAAGGAGTAGAGCTTTAGGGAGTCTTTCTTGTGGTTCTATAGAAGTTATAGATGATTTTGTTGAAATTATGTTGAATAATTTCTCCTTTGTATTATATTCTTTCATATCGCCTCATATCTTTGTAATGCTTCGTGAACTTCATGTTGTCACTGAAATGATGAGGGTGGTTGGCGGGTGCTCTGGTGCGGTTTGCTTCTTTCCTATCAAACAACTATCGTCTTTATCTCCACTCCTCTTTTGTGTTTGTTACTCTCTTGCATAACACCTCTAATCTTCGGCACTTATATGTGTCGCGTTGTGGTGGAATCAGGCACTCGTCAATTTTTGGGTATATGGGGTTATTGGTATCATCTTAAAGTCTTAAAACCTGTTCTTTTGCCTTGCGCTTTAGGTGAAAAAATATCCATCTATGTTGAATAGAAGTTGAAATATTTACGATTGAAGGCTGTGGGGGTCGCCTGTTGTCAGAGGTAAAATTAGCGAGGAAATGGCCACCAAAGCTTGGTAACTTGAATAGCTTGAAAGTCCTTGAAAATTAAAAATGACATATTTTGTGCCTTTTATCAACATTTTTCTGTAAAATTCACATGGAAATGTGTTTTTAGTTTACATAAAAGGTGCTGAGCCAAAAAACAAAAATTCGATAAAAATTGCCCAACGCAATACTGGTATCTTTGATTTCATTATGTAGACGAGCGCCTGATTTCACCCGGCTGCCTTACATATGATTTCACCCGGCTGCCTTACATATGATGTTATTGTGTTGCAATTGCTGTAAATTCACTTATTAAAAAAAGCAACTGAAATGATAGCAGAAATGGATTCCTGGTCCAAAATCGCTTTGACATGTGAAGTTTCATACAGTTATTGTCTTTTTTGGTGATTTTATTCTGAAAAGTTTTCAGGCCATGTGTACCTCGTTGTGATTTTTCGTTTACAGATTTCCCATTTTTGTGGTCGCATAACTTATTAAATTGATGTGCCGGAACTCGGAAAAAAATTGGGCTATGAATTTGACATTACTGAGAGAATATGTTCTGTAGTAAGTGTCTTGTCTTTTCAGCAATCACTTTCCATTTTATTGATGTCTGAAATCAGTCTTTTTTACATCTTTGGACGAAAATGTATGCATCAAGAAGTATTTTTTTAAATTTTAAGTCGCTGTTTTGGCTTTATTTAAACTCTGTTCTCATTTTGCTTAGTTCATACTGGCACCTGTTATTTTAAAACAAATGACAGTACATGCTTTATGAATCTCAATAAATTTTGTGTGAACTCACAAAATCGCCCTTTTTTACGTGATTTCAAAGTTATCAAAAATTTGCAGTCCACCAACATTCAAATGCCTGTCATTTTTTAAATTTATTGTCTGATTTCAATAATTCAAACACCAAAGTTCATGGTTTGCATAGTTTTTTATAATGCAACAAACATATATTAGATCAAAGTGCTTTGAAAATTTGGATTGGGGTACGGTACCTATTTTTAGATGTAATTTTCCACTGTATAAAGGGACAAAACTGTGTTAAAACTAATCCTCATTGATATTACAGTCAGTAGTCTCCTGTAAATCTTAGCACCATTTTCATTGTTTTGAAGAAGTGAAAGTGAAGCGTTGACATTTTGAGTTGTGTTTCTGATCAAAAATAATGTTTTTCTTTTCGCAATAGCATCCAACAGACCAGTCTATCGACCTTCCTTTTTAGCTGCAGAAGTTCTGGACGAAATTATGAATGACTGTGACAGTGATGATAATGATTTCAATGGAGTTTCTGAGTTAGGGGCTCTATGTGACACTATTAGTAATTGGAGCAATTTTCCCAGGCACAGATATGTAGATCATAACCAGCAATGAAGTGGTTAATGCAAGGCTTGAATATCATGAAAAGGATTTCTGTACTTTCTGTAGGATTATACTTTCTTCGCGGGTGGTTGGCGGGTGCTCTGGTGTGGTCTGCTCCTTCTTTCCTATCAAACACCTATCATCCTTATCTACCCTCCTTATTTATTTATATTTGTTACTCGCTTGTAACACCTCTAATCTTCTGGCGCTCATATGACCTTACGCAGTTGCGAGCGCAGAAAAACTTCTACTAAAACAAACAAACATTCTTCTACAGGCAGTAGACACAGCACCTGCTTCATGCTTTATGTTGAATTCCCACATGCAATAGACATTTCACAACCCCAGAATTACAAAGTGCTACCAGCTCACTAGACCTACCTATATTGAGAAATTTGACATCAAAATTTTTTTGAGTTTCACAGCATGTCAAGCTTTTTCGAATGCAATTCTTTGAATATCTTGATAATGACTCCGAATGTTCTTATGATTTTGATAGAGCAGATAGAACATTTGGTTTCTGACCTCATGGTTTTAGTAACTTAAAACGGCCAAAAATGTCAGACAGAACTTTGTAATTCTGAGGTAGCGGTTTATTTTTAAGAACATCTCGACTGTCTAGTGTGAGATGCCGCCTTACGACATTTTGAATAGTAACATAAGACAGAATCTTTCACTTACCAGTCAATGTACACATTTTTGCTTTGCAGTGACATGCAAGATCAAAGCAAGTCCCCCTCCCCCTCATGATCTTAATAAAGTAGAAGGGGCATAAATCAGCAGTGGATCCGACAATCCACGAGCGTCCATGGGTGTAAAGAAGAAAGTCTTTGAACTCTTCATGAGGGTTCTTCTGTAGCTGAGTGTCCAACAACGATGTACCTAAGGCTGAAAATGTACGGCTAAGCAGAACTGAAGTGTGCCGCTAGAATAGTCGTGGCCTCCTCTTTATTTTCTATCACTATCGGTGATTTCACTGACACGACTAGACGTGAGGAGTCGTGAGGACCCAAAAAGATGTGCGTGCTTGCAGCACTTCTTTTTCGTGTGTGTACAGGTTCGCCCTGCTATTGTAGTGTTCCGGGACGCCGTGGAGATAAATCAGAGGGGGGGGGCAGGGGGACCATTGAGCTGTTTACGCCTGCACGGTGCCATTTTTTTACAGTCGGACGGAGTCGCGCTGACCTATTGGATCACCACTTCTGACCTAGCTGCTCGTCCGTTTCGTGGTGCACTTCAGTTGTGCATGATAGAATATTTTCAGCCTTAGAATTAGAATGGCTTTGTTCCATTCACACCTCATTAGACTTAAAGTGTGACTGTTTTAAAAAGTGAAATAACCCAGCATGCTTGCCTTTTGACAGTCATCCATGGAACAAGTAAGAAGAAACAGTGTCTTTCCAGAATAATTTAATGCATAAATACACACAAATTTGTGTAGCATATATAAAATATAACTTAAATATATTTCAGCAGTGCAATAGCTTCCTTCATAACTTTATAAAAATGTATCGTGGCAAGTCGTGATGACAATCGATACGAGAAAAGACAACACGGACATTGGTTAGAATGAAAAGTGATATATTCCATTTTTACATGGCCACCATTTTATTAAGGTGCAAACACAGTGGAATCCGGTTTGGAGACACTTCCAGCTTTGTACAGCTGACCTCGCCGAGTGACAAACGTGGGAGCTGGAATGTCTCTTTCTCTTTGCATCGTCGCTACAGTTGTTTTGTTACCGGTCCTTCCTCCACACGCCCACACGGCACTATTTTTTAGCCTGAAGCATTTTAGTGCAGCACTAAAATTTCTACCGGCCTGACTCCAGCTTTTTTTAACACATGTATAGCGTCGCTCAAACCAAAACTGGAATCAACATTCACCAAAGAATTACTAATCACTGCTGTGGAAAAAAGGACATCTGTATGATGAATCAGATGTCCTATACACACTTTTCTTTGTCACCCAGAATTTCTTCCACAAGGTAATGGTATTCACCAAAATTATCCCTTCGTAGGAATAATGGATGAACCCAATAAAATGAATAATGCATACTTTTTTAGCCAGAGCATCAACATAAGCTGTAAAACCGTTACGTCTGTTGTTGCACCATGATAGCCCACTAAGGCAAATGCTGTGGTGAAAACAAGCCAGGGTGGGTGGTTGGCAGGTGCTCTGGTGTGGTTTGCTTCTTCTTTCCTATCAAACATCTATCGTCTCCCTTCCTTTTTCGTCTCTGTTACTCTCTTGTAACTCCTCTAATCTTCGGCACTTATATGACCTTATTGTGCTGCAAGTGCCATAAAACTCTTACTAAAACTAAAACGAGGCGGGAACAAAACAAGTTTCATCTGTTTTGCTCACAGCACAGCTGTTTTGATGAGCCGGACGTGTCTCCAAACTGAATTCCACTGTATTTGTACCTTTATACAGATACACCACAAACATACATGTCTCATTCTGCAGCACTGGCTTCCTCAAGAATTGGTGTGCTGCGATGCAAAGCAATTTTCTCTCACAATTCAAAGTAAATTCTCAACAGTGACATATAATATTGATACATGTATACATACCGTATATATGAGAATGTGGCCAGAACATTAATTAGCTTGGCGGCAGTGGGCCGGGTACAGTAAAAGTAAAAGTCGCTGACAAGGCACTGCAAACTATTTGACTATTTGCTTGTATGCAAAGTAAAACTTTACAAAAGTTACGATGCACATTGACAGTCTTGTATCCTCTCCTGAAAGTTCAGACAACTTCACGTTAAATCCCTCAGCCAGGCTGTTCGTTCCTACACTCTGGCACAGATAACACTGAACATGGTAAATTTATAATCACAGAGCTTGTAGTTGTACAATTTGCCATTCCCCGACCGATATCTAATTTTATGGATGAGTCAAACACATTTGTCAATCCCAGATGTGTTTGAGCTGTCTGTGCCCTGCAGTATTTAGCGTATTTCTCGGGCTCTAGAGGTGGATCTATAACGTTGCTGCCTGTAATGTTTGTGCTACTAAATACTACTATACCTCCTCTGTCACTTCTGATTACTTTGTGGTCTCCTCCGTGATGGAAGTAGTAGTTCTACTTCTACATGTCTTACTTCTCGTGTATTTATTGTGCTGACGTGTCTGTAGTGCAATGGTTAGGCCCTTCACCATCGCACAAGAATTTGAATCCTGCATGGGGAGAATTTCTATCACATATCTCAATCTTTGCAGAAGAGTTAACGCTCAGATGCTACTGGATCGCTAACATCTCAGTCTTTCTTCTGAGATGTTCCCCTCTCAGGGTCAAAGTCAAAGCTAACCACCTTAAAAATCGTATTGATGGAGGCGTAAAAAACACCTGCCTTCATGCATCACGGGCATTAAAAAAACAACTACCTAACATTATATAATGCTGTGTAACTTAAGGATGAAGATATTGTTACTGCAAAGCTTTTCCTTCTGATAGTAATTCTTGTCACTTGCTAGTATATGTCCAGAAATAAAGAGCACCTTGTTAAGTTGTGGACTCCAAGGAATAAACATTTAGGTGGTGGAGCTTTCGCATCTTCGAAGATTATCCACGCCTACCACTCCAAAGCACATAGAAAGAATAATACCCGAAAGTGGTGCTTTCTACCACGCTAACTTTCCTGACAAGGCCATGCTTACAATTATTACCAGAGTGTCAAGTGATGTTGTCTTAAAAAGGTCCTTAACCGTTAACTACACAGAAATAAAAACCATTATAAATACACTATTTAAAGCACCTCAGACACCAGATGGCTACCATGAGCTGTCCCGCCAAGAACAAGTGATTATCTTCAGACTAAGGACACAAGACTGAGACAACATATGTACAAATGTTTTAAACTAGAACAATAACCAAAATGCCAGTGTGGAGAGGCGGACCAAACTGTTGAACACATCCTTCAGCACTGCAAGACACACAGGGCCCTGAGACAGGAAACGTGGCCAACCCCACTGACGCTGCAAGAGAAGCTATACGGGCCGACAGATGAACTGAGCAGGACGGCCCAATTTATGACAGATACCAGACTTCAAGTGTGATGCGATCGAGAAGAAGAAAGAAGAAGAAGGTCCTTAACCCCTTCATGACACAGGGTCCGTATGTGCTTCACCGGGCAGTTTCGAATCCCCAGAGACACACAAAGTAGCGCTAGATTTAGTGGTCAGTTTCCTATAATTAGACCTGGTTTGCAAATACCACTATCTTTAAAAGGAAAAGATATCTTCATACATCAAAAATATTCCCGAATGTGAATCTGCGATCAGTTTTATGAAATGTATCTAAAAGAAGCAGTAAGCAGAATACAACTTATGACGGACAGTGTTCGTCATCGTGGTCCTCGTGCTTCGCCATCCGTCACAGCAGCATCTTGGCTTCATTCACAGTGTAAGAAATAATGATGAACGGTGTACGTCATATATAGGTCATGAAGGGGTTAATCGGTCTTGCAAAATAACTCTTGTTTTTAGCAGCAGTAGTTCAAAGAACAAGATGCATCTGTTAATGTTGTTGTTATGGCTGCTTGTAGTTGTAGGAAATGCTATTTCATTAGATTAGATCTTCCTTACATGGTTTCATTCATTAAGGGTTTGGTTGTACAATTTTACAAAACATGTTAAATCTGATTTATTTAAAAAATGAAATATTCCATTTTTGGAATAATCCGAGGTTTCACCAAATCTAACAAAGTTCACTGATACCACGAGTAGGCCTATGAGAAGATGTTTGGTCTGAATGAAGAGGAAAGTTCAATAAAAATATTTATGTTCATCTCTTTATTACAATTGTTGAGGAATGAGATTTGTTTGGAAATATATATCAATCAATATGAGGGTAAAAAAGTGACAACTAAGCCAGAACATGAACACATAACAACACAAAGTCAAGACTTAATAAGAACTAGTGAGTTAAAAGAACTTATCCGTCAATAAACGTGTTAATATCTAGGAAATGTGGGAATTTTCTTCATCATTACTTATTGCACACTAGGTTTTCAATGTTTGAAGGGTTACTCTCTCACATATCTTGTCACTGCTACACACTCACTCATACTTGTAATTTCATAACTACATAAACATCATACCGCTACACACAGTCTCACAGACAAAGGATGTCTATTATCTAGGAGTCAATGGAACTTTTTAAAATGCATCTCTATTTTTTCTCTGGGAGAAGAAAACCCCCCCCAGCAAATTAAAAATTTATTGCAGTTTTAGAGTTTGGCCCTGCCTGACACACCTGAGTAATAATAGGTCGAGTAATGGTATACTACTACTTGACACATTACACCCTAACTCACCTGGGATCCCCCGGGAATTCCCTTACGCGCTCCACCCTGACTCGCCCGGAACCGCCCGCGCCGACCTAGCATCTTTAGAAACGAAGTCTCGCCTTGACGAGACTCTGGGGCCGAGATTTTGATTTGCATAGTTATTGCAAAAAGTTTCTGCTTTCGTTTGATACCGAAACGAAATTTTTCGGGCCAGTAGTTTTGGTATTAGAGCTGATCGAAGTGCGATCGCATTACCGACACTTCGAAAGTGTCTCGACTTGTTGAAAAGCGACACAATTGAATTCGAAAACGGAAATAACGATGGATTTGAGCAAAAACAAGCGTATGACAAATCAGATGGCTCAGATTTTGATGAAAACGTTGTAGGAAGAGTTTGGGGCGATTCCGATTGATCAGACGGAGAAAATCTAGAATTTAGATCTAGGGCCCGACCGCGAGGCTGAGAGTGAGAGTGACAGGTCGGACACCCCGATTGAACTAAAGTGAGAACATTTCAAACAGTTTGCGCATACATAAAGTTATATTTTTCTGAAACTACATTCAGTTTTATTCTTAACTTTTATTTTTTCAGGATTTTCTAAATTTGTTAAGTATTCTTTAAATGTGTTTTTTAAACGCTTGTATTCACAGGAGGTGGGTTCCTTCCCCTTGCTTAGGATCTAACAATGGACTTCCCGTCCAAGCCCTTAGGGTGTAATGTGTTAACAAATAAAACTATAAAGTCCTGCCCCAAAAATCAAAAGACTAGTACTTAGCTCAGTTCTTCCTCACCCAACAAAAACTGACTTACTACTTTTAGTTGTTTTTATTTTTTAGTTAAATTCCATCAGACTCGCCAACTGACCAATGACCATGGTGATTACTTGTCGTGACTGAGAAAATCCCATGAGTCCACCCAGGTCAGGGCCTCAATGCGCTGTTTGCTGAGAGCCTCACTTCCGAATGTGAACACTGACAGCGAGAGAAAGGATTGTAACGACACAGCCAGCAGTACCACACAACTGTATTTCAGGGCAGGCCGAGCTACAGACGATCTGAAAACACAACAGAAAAAGTCATTATTATTGAGTTGTACATTCTAGCACTCGCGCACAGAGTGAAGTCAGCAGGATGCGAAAATCCCTTTATGTATGTGTTTTGAAGAAAAAGAAAAAGTTCAAGATCAGAAATTCACAGCAGGGTCAGTAGCCTACAGAACCGGCAACCAAACACTAACAGTAGTAACAGTAACAGGGAACCATCTGCTGCAAGCCTACCCAATGCATGAGGCACTTAGAAAGAAATGTTGGCCCAACCCTTAGCAGGAAAACCCAATAAAACTCTCTGGGGGCCTGGAGAACCTGCGGCAAACATTGAGCTTTCTCACTAAAGAGCAGTCAAAAATTTGTGGCGCAACTTATTGTCGAATATCTCCTCAACTATCGAACATAAACTCCTCATAAACTCTCCAGCTTTTGCATAGTGACTTTTATCAATTAGTCTTCACAGGTGAATATTTTTTCCAACTCCTGCACACTGTATTCTAGAAAATTCCTTAATAAATACTAGATCTAACAAAAAATCCAAATGGGTGGTTTTTTACAGATTTTTAAATGTTTACAGTAAATTACAGCTGGGGCAAAATTGCTTTTATAGCAAGTCCATCATGTTTTTCTAATCGGGACATTAAGCTTATTGAACGCATGTTTTGAGAACCATAAGTGCAAAAATGTGCTTGCTATAAAAATAATTTCTTGTAACAAGCTTTGCAACTAAAAATTGTAATCGATGAACTGTGACATAGGCCATATATATGTGTAATCAAAATGTGTGAGAGAAGCGGGAAGTGCAGTGAACAATTCCATTTTTCATGTGAAAGAGATTTGTAGTATTTTATATAAATTTAGTGAAGAAAAGTTTTTAAATCTAGCCTGAACAGTTTTGGAAAAACATGATTAAGTTAAGACAAATTGATACAAACTGCTCTGCAAAGTATGGGTGACATTGATTAACCCGTTTAAGAGATATTTGAGGATAAGTTGCACCATGAATTTTTTTAGACTGGGATGTCTATTTAAAGATGAAAGAGAAGAATTTAATAATAAAAAGAAAATGGTAAAGTTTATATTAGGGCTACATGTGGTCCAATTAAGGTAACCACCCCCAACTAACCTTATTCAGACTACCCTTTTTTCACAACGGTAATTGTTCTCTAGAATTGAAGCTGAAGAGTCAGTTTTGCTTTCTCAGTTTGGCATCTCTTTGTCCTACACTTAAGTTTTATATCTGCGCTCGGTGACAGTAGGTCACTATCAGTGCATGAATTATAAACTATAAAATTTAGTAAAGTATAATGGTAAATACTCTGTAAAAAGAAAGAGAATGGTAGTCTCTCGTTTTGGCCCTATGAGTAAGAGTACTGAAATAATGACAGTAACTTCAATAAGGGTTAGGGGCAGTAAGGGTGCAGGATTTGGGTTAGGATACTTTTGTTTAATAAAAATCGTTTGAGCAGAGGTCAAAACCGGATTATTATCACAAAGATTTGAGAGGGCCTGTGAATTTCAGTTGAATGGAAGCATAACCCCCCAAGATTCATGTGATTGGGGGGGGGGGGCTAGACATTCTAGATCTATGCGATGAGTTGAGACTTCATTTAACTCACGACACTGAATGCAGCATTCAGTGAGCCAGGGTTAGACTCAACTACATGGTACTTACTACTGCATCTTTTTCATCCAGTTTAGCCTTTTTTGTTGTTTTGTCTTGGTGCTTCACAAAGAAACCAGTGTACAAAAATTATAATAATAATAATAATGAAGATCATTTCTATAGCGCCCACTCCCGTGTAAACACAGCTCTAGGCGCTTTACATAAATGCATGTAAGAAAAATATTCATGCACGCGACACACACACACACTCACACACACACACACTCATATACACACAAACACACACACATATACATATACACACACACAAACACACGCATACACACTCACGAATACATAACACGCACACATGTATGCCAAACACACACAAACACACACACACACACACACACGTACATACACACACACACGTACACACACACACACACACACACACACACACACATCTACTTGCTTATCACACGCACACGATTACACATCGTCACGAAATGAGAATAAAATAATATATACACTGCAATTCACAAAATACATAAATGGATACATAGACATTTACATAACATTGTACTGAACATGAATCTACTGACTTAAAAAGGATGTCAAAAAAACAACTTTATACTCTGAATCTAGATTCAACTCAGGAACAGTGTCACTAAGAGACTAAGACAAGGTATACTACATTAAGACTACAGACATATAGAGTTGCAACCTTTTTACGCCTTACAAGTTCAGAGAGAGGGATGTTTGTTTATGTTGTCGAGTGTAACCAAAATAAGGTTACCCAGGGGTGGTTACTTTATTTGGGCTACATATGTAGCAAACACAAAAAAGAAGGAGAGATAGAAGAAATGATGTTTGATAGAAAGAAGGAGCAAACAACACTAGAGCGCCCTCCAACCACCCATACCCCAGGGAGAACAGCTAGACTTATACTCTTATACACCAATCTATGCTCAGGCGAGGAGAAAAAAATGGTTCAGTTCCGAACCCCACTCAAATTCAAACCACAAACTTTCCTTCCGGCTGATAATGTTTGAATCTTGCTCAAAAGAGAACAGATAAATACCCAAAAACCTGAGAGAAGTGATACACAAAGCAGTCGGCAGTTGAATGAGAGCAGATGTGAAAAATCAACTCACTTAGAAGCAACTGTATACAGATGGTCCCCAAACGCTGCCAACGCCATGATTTTGTAGACAACAGAAGGTAAGTAGTGGTGGAGAAACAGGGTTCGATCCTCCAGAAAATATGGCAGGTAGTGGATGAGGTAGCCTCCGACAAACAGCTCCATCAGGAAAAGGAAATGCTGCCATTGATCTGAGGATGAGAAAAGAAAAGAAAAACAATTTTGTAAGAAAATCAGAAAAATTACTCGCCCCTTGTTTGGAATTCCTTTTATGGAAATGTTTCAATTTATCAAGTAACTGTTTTTCTGCACAGATGTATCCCAACCAGCATAGTTAGGCCCCTAAATATTTGAGAAAGGGTCAAGGTAACGTCTTCTAAATGATCTGAACTAGGTCACTGTGGGGACTTTCACAATCATTCAAAACATAATGTACTCCATTAACACATTACACCTTAACTCGCCTGGGAATTCCCTTATGCGCTCCACCCTGACTCGCCCGGAACCGCCCGCGCCGACCTAGCGTCTTTAGAAACGAAGTCTCGCCTTGACGAGACTCTGGGGCCAAGATTTTGATTTGCATAGTTATTGCAAAAAGTTTCTGCTTTCGTTTGATACCGAAACGAAATTTTTCGGGCCAGTAGTTTTAGTATTAGAGCTGATCGAAGTGCGATCGTGTTACTGACACTTCGAAAGTGTCTCGACGTGTTGAAAAGCGACACAATTGAGTTCGAAAACGGAAATAACGATGGATTTGAGCGAAAACAAGCATATGACAAATCAGATGGCTCAGATTTTGATGAAAACGTTGAAGCAAGAGTTTGAGGGGATTCAGATTGATCAGACGGAGAAAATCTAGAATTTAGATCTAGGGGGCCCGACCACGAGGCTGAGAGTGAGAGTGACAGGTCGGACAACCCGATTGAACTAAAGTTAGACCATTTCCAACAGTTTGCAAATACATAAAGTTATATTTTTCTGAAACTACTTTCAGTTTTCTTTTTAACCTTTATTTTTTCAGGATTTTTTGATTTTGTTTAATATTTTTTTATGGATTTTTTAATATGGTAAGGCTTGTATTCACAGGAGGCGGGTTCCTTCCCCTTGCTTAGGATCTAACAATGGACTTCCTGTCCAAGCCCTTAGGGTGTAATGTGTTAACACTTTTCCCACATGCATTTTATAATTACCAGAGGACAGCAGACTACTACGAAAGAGAGAGGGAGAGAGAGAGAGAGGGATGGAGGGGGAGAGAGAGAGAGAGAGCGAGAGAGAGAGAGAGAGCGAGAGAGAGAGAGAGAGAGAGAGAGAGAGAGAGAGAGAGAGAGAGAGAGAG